TTTACAACGCGGGATGGATGAGTCTCCGAGCAAGAATTTTCTCTCCCCCCTTTCCTTCGATTTAGTCTCGAACTTCAGAGATGAGCGATTCTCGAAAGACTTCAGACGCGACGTGAAGTGCAACTCGGGCAATTCCAGAGAAGGCGCGTGTACTCTTCGAGCTTTGAGTGTGCGGTGTTAAAAGGAAGTTCCGTTTAGCTTCCGCTAAGTTTACGGATTGTAGAAAGTTGCAAGTGAGTGTTGCAGATGTAATTACATCGGTAGGAAAGTGTGGCTTACGAGGAAATGGGTTTCCAAGTTAACCCTGGTACGGTCTTCCGATGTTTTTCGAACCGTTGCCTTCTTATTTTTTTAATAACTTTTGCGAGTTAATGGCGTTACGGGAAATCGTGCTGTACGAGAATTTTTACGCGAATAGTCTGAAGTAACGTGTTTGGAATGATTGTTGCCGCGCCAATATTTATTTTCTGTTTTATCAAATAGAATAGTCTTTTTTTTAATAAGTGACATATAGAGGATGTGCAGCGTAAGGATTAGCGAAAGGACAGCGTGACATACGCAGGATTTTTCAGGACACTTCTGGTAGTGTCGGAAAAAATCGTCAGTACTCGATCGTCAACAAATTACAAAAGTAAAAATTGCGAAAGTATTAGTTTTTCCACAAATAAGCGGGGTCGCCTGCGTATTTTTAAACGACACTGTATAACTTTTTCTACGTACGTGACAGTGAGACGAATTCAACGATGTACAATGTCGGTACATTCGTTCAACAATTTGTTGAGCTAAACATTTTTAACGTAATAAGAGTGCTTGTGAACGCATATGATTATAGTAGTAGTACCAATACTGTAATCATTGAATTATCAGTTATACAGTGGCGTTTTAAAAAACGAAGGTGCCTCGGATTATATTTCTGGAGAAAATAGTACTTTCGCAATTTCTACTCCCGTAATTAGTTGACGATCGGATATCGATGATATTTTTATTTCAATCATTTCTTTTTCACACTGCCAGAAGTTCCTGAAAAATCGTGGCGACCGCTACGCTGAACACCCTGTATACGCATTGTACGAGAATTCGCGTTATGTGAAAACAGTAGTCGCGATATCATTGGTGCGTTACAGGAATTCGCGTTATATGGGAGTCTGATGTATTGGAAAAATATATTTACACTGCTATGATTTTAATTATTCTTTTAACTGTTCTTTTAGTCCGAAGCATTCTCGCGTACCGCGGGCATTCGTGTGATCGACTGTGACCGGATGATGTGTGTGAGCGAATCCTTTTTTTTGTTTTCTTCCTTTGTCCAGTTTCCAGGCCGTTGTTCGCGTCTCTCGGAATGTTCGCGGCATGTACAGCGGCATCGGTGCATTTTTATATATTAATATTACTCTGCTATTAATAAACTATGAAAAATCTAATATCAAGTTTATCTTCCCTCGACATCGTATTAAACGTTCATTGCCTAGATTCATATTGGCGTGTTGGTAACTTAAGATTGTTACACATACGTCCTTTGGATCAAAAAGGACCCACAAATCGAATGAAAGAACGTATTGGGGTTAACCCTTTGACAGTCTAATAAAATGATGAATTACGGTAAGAAAGATTTATATTTCACAGGTATTTTTTTTTCAATAATTACGTCGAACATGATCATTTTTAAAACAAAGTTTACATACCCCTACGTTATAGTTACGACAATGATATCTCGTCCCTTTTTAACTTTCTTCCTAAGAGTCATTTTCAAGTTAAACAGTTAAATATTTGACGGAAAAGAACTGTCGAAAGGTTAAGCTTCTGTTAAATTGATCGGAAAGAAAATGTTTCCTTTCTGTTTCGGACATATTCGACAAGGTTTGGAACGTAACGTAAACTATAACCAAGTTGGTCAGAAGCCATCGAGGTTGGAAGAAAACGCATCTCGACCTTACCTCCTCGTAAAAGTGTCGTCCACGAGGCGAACATCCTATTTCTCAACGTTAACCGGGTATGGGGAGGATACGTGGAATGAGTGTGTGTCCTGTTTCGCTCGTGGATTTTCGAAATGGCCTTAGCTGGTACCGCTGAAAACGTCACGTACCGCTCGTGGAATATTCCACGGCAGTTTATGAGATACCGAGCTCTGCACTTCCCACTAAAATCCTATGAAGTATAGAGGGACCAAGGCGACGGACGACGCGCAACGCCGTGTCTCAATACGGAAAAGGGATCAACACGGAGCAGATTAAACCGAAGGGATAGCTGAAATACTCTGAAAGTCTTTTTCACGTTGTTCGCTACTAGATACACGATTTTAGGTAAATTTTAGGTTCGCTATTAGGTACAACAGAAATTTATCGCGACGATGACAACTGATACGAAAAATAGTTCTCCAAAGTCCAATGTTCAGTTCTAGATTATGTGAGTGTAAGAGTATGGACTCGCGCTGGTTTATGACCCGCAGACCGAGAGGTCCGAACCGAGTCCCAACGCTTTGACACCCCCACGCGCTAAGGGCTGGGTCAGGTAAGGACCCGCGCGACGCTGACTTTGCCGGGTAGAAACCCCCAACTTGTGCCAGGGTTTCCCAGAGGCAAGAGAGGGGCGTCAAGGCTCGTATATAAGGACGCGTTAAATAAGTTAAACAGTAGAGATTGTATTAGAACGAATTAGGAAGCGTGTAGTTAATAAGGACGGACCAGAAAAGAACGAGACGTGAACGACAGACGGACGAATAAATATAGTTTTCAAAATTAGTTTAAATAATCCTGACAAATATTATTTAGACCAAAAGCCCTTACATGAATTAATGTTCAATGTCCGTTTACAAATTGTTCAAAGGAATATTCGCGAATTTCTAAAAGTCCTTTTATACGTGTTCGTTCATCGAAAGGTGTGACCTAATGGAAAATGTAAATACGTGAGAAAAATGTCAATCCGGAAAAGTGAAGAAATTTTGGAGGCCTCCTAGACTCTGTCAACACTCAGAGCACTATTCTCTGTTGCTAGGTGAGTACATAATGGGTATTTTGTGGGGAGATGGTAACTTTAGCCCTTAGTCCTTCAGCCAAGGTGTGAATAAGTTAGCCTTGCGGATTTAGACTTTCCTTCGGAAAGTTGGTACACGTTGACTAACTTACTTTGAAGGAATCCCAAGAACACATATTGTCTTCACTCTCTTGTGAATTATAGCTGAAAGACGGCTGGTGACTCAGCAATACAGTATTCATTTGCTACGAATTAACCCTCGTACGACGAATGCAGGGTCATTTTGACTTGTGGCGGGTACGTCACTGCCAACAAGCCCTTACCGAACCTACTCTTCCACGCGAACTTACTCTTTTTCAACTCCTTCAGATTTTAGTTTCCGTTCTTTGGTCTCTCCCCGGGTTAAGACTTGCCTTCGTCCTCGAGTAGCCTAAGAAGCGCGCATGTGGCATCCAGGTTTGCACGAGGACGAACGGTCCCGCTTTCTACAAATTTTCCGTTTCCACCACTTTCTCTACTTCTCTCTCCTGTCTCCCTGTCCTAAGTACGCCTACACCTCCGGTCAGTTTTTCCTTTGCCAGCCATCGAAACGTACCCGCCGAACCGCTGCCGCCGGGACGATTAGCGAACAAAGCAATTGTATTATTTCGAGCGAACTGTACGCCGACCGTCGCATTTAGATTTTAATAAATTGAGGTGAAACCAGTGCAACTAGAGCTTAATAAATTGAGGTGAAAACAGTGCAACGGCGTTCCTCACCCACCTCAGACTCAACAGCGATAAAGTCAGGCGGCTCAGATTACGTTTGGTACAAGAAATACACCTACTTTACGTATCACATGTAAATAAACAAGAAAATTATAAAATATATACAGTTGAAGGTATACACATTTATACACAATTTCTTCTTGAAACCCGTGTACGATAGAAATTTTACTATGGGTCAAAATGACCCTGCATTCGTCTCCCGCGTTCGTCTTCTAACACAAGGATTATAATCTGTGTGAAGCACTTTATTTTGCACAATTTATACAACGCAAGCGCGTATCGTCTTTGTCTCCATCGACGTCGAGCAAGACAATCTGCCGTGGTGCATCGGCCGGGAAACAAATGACGATCGGGCCCAGTTTTTGGCGCCAAATAATCCTCCCAGCGCCATCCAAGACCCGTCACCCAATCAATAGAACACCAGGAGGAATCACGCTCCTCAATCTTTACATACTGTTTTACTGTACGCTCCGCTACAGTCTAAAACCATTCGCCTTCCGAGGGTTAAGAGAACGAACCTACATTACCGGCCAAAAGTTTCGAATCACCTGCTAATTTACGTTAAAATTGAATCTGCTGCTAATTCTTCATAGATTTGAAATCGATGTCGTGGAGATAGATAGCATTTTACCTTATTTCGATTGATTTGAACGACGAAAAATTGGTTAAAATATTCTTAAAACTGCTAACTCTTTTCCTGGAAATTTTCGTGTCACTTGCAGTGCACAGTGATTCCACACATTTGGCCAGTAGTGTATGTCGAGTA